GTTAAGATGGTCTTTGCTCCCTGGCCACTGTGTCTCAGTGGTTAGAGCATGGGCCTGAGCACCGAAGGGTCTCGGGTTCGATTCCTGATCGAGGGCATGATCCTGGGATGCAGGTTCACTCCCTGCGCCCTGGTTGGGGCGTGTGGGGGAGGCAACCATTTGAAGTGTCTCTCTCACATCGATGTTTCTCTCCCTCTCCCTTCCCTCCTCCTTTCCACTCTCTCTGAAAAGCAATGAATACAAATATTCTGTGGGACGATTCATGAAAAAAAAATTTTTTTAAAAAGGGATGACCTTTGTGAGGAGAGTCTCCAGTCTCCTCGGGCTGCCGGCTCCTGAATAAACCGTCTTTCCTCCCAGCAGCACCGGCCCCTGGAGGTCTGGCGGCAGCAGCATCAGTGGAGCCCGGCTCGGTACCAAATCCAGCTCTTGGGGTGTTGGCAACAGCTCAGAGCACGCGGACTGTTAGAGCGAGATCCTGCTCATCCAATGGAAAACGTGCACTTGAATCGTGGAAGGAGTGAGTGACTGATGTGCAAGTCAGGTTTGGGGACAGTGAGGAGGCCCCGAGTTCCTAGTATGTGTACGTTCCCCCATTTCTAAGAATCAGCGAATGGTCATAGGCCCCGCTAAAGTCAGACAGCAGGGACATGGGGACACACGTTCCAATCCACTCGAAGGTCGCAGGGTCCGAGCGCCGAGCCAGTGAGGGAGGGAGAATGTTTCCAGGCCCGGAGGCAGGTCAGTGACACCCGCCTGTCACGGCAGAGTCAGGTCATGGGTCAGAGTCAGGGTCACGGGTCAGACTTGAAAGCGCGGGGAAGGGTCAGGGGCCCTTGGACGTTAGGGTTTTAATAAATGGAACAAATGACACCTGAGGTGACACCAGGTGAGGGTCTCCGATCCAGGACTTAAGAACTGAGCGAACGATCACAGGTTCACAGATTGAAACTGTGCCTTCCCAGGTCAGAGCCTGCACAGGCCCATGTGTGGGCTCCCGGCCCACCCAGCAGGGGCTCCAGGCCCGCACCTCCTCTGGCTGATGAAGCCCCTACCCTGAGGGTCAGCTGCATTCCCACCAACCCGGCGCCCTGGGGCCGGTGTCTGGAGCCCCCACCCGTCCTCTCGCTTCCCTGGGGCGGCCCTGACCCTCAGCCCCGTGGCGCCAGGGCCCGGGACAGAAAGCGTGTAGCTGAGCATCCGGACATCAGCTGAGACCCGGCGAGGGCACTTCCCAGGGTCGCTCCGTGCATCCTGGGGACTTTCCGTGCCCGACTGCCCTCCTGGGAGTCCCTGGACGGTACGTGCTCTCCTGTCAGCCCCCGTGTCCGACTGTGGCTTCTCTCCTCCTGGGTCAGTGAGGGAAGGGGGAGCCACTGGCCTGCCTGTTCCCAGCCGAGCGGGACACCCGGGAACTTTCTACAAGACAAGCTCTGGGGGCCTCGCACACCTACAGGGTAACTTGTTCCGCAACAACAAGTAGTACAGACGCTAAAGGGCTTCTTCCTCTGTGTGTCTCCCTCGCGGAGTCTCCACCTCGTCCCAGCTGCCGGGGCCTCTCAGGCCAGTGGTTCCTCGTTTGAAAACGAGTCTGAGGAAGTCCCCAAGGGCAGCAAGGTCCTCGCACGGCCACACACGCTCGTCCCCACACACGCCCGAGATGGAGACCCTGCCAACCTCCCCGAGGCCCCCTCTGTCCCCGCGGGGAAGCCGGACCAGGACGCAGAGGGGTGGGTGTTGCCTCACAGCCGGGACGCTCGGGCTCTGGGAGGCGGAATCGCATGGCAGCCATGGCCCGGCCCCTCGGAGGGGACCACTCTCACCCCATCCCTGGCTCCTGGACTTAAGCCCCTTTGGAGCTAGGACCGGGCAGGGCCTATGTCTTCCATCCTGCAGAGGGGACCACGCTCACCCCATCCCTGTGTCCCGGACTCAGGCCGTGGCTGCCGAGACCGGACTGGGCACCGTCTCCTCTCTCCCAGGACGGGAGTGAAGCAAGGCCGGGCGCCGTCTCAGGTCGCGTCTCCTGAAGGCCCGCCCGCGTGGGCAGCTGCAGGTGCCGGTGAGCTCTTGCTGACAATTATTGGGACGTGACTGTGGGGAGCAGAGGCTCCAGGCCTGAGAGCAGCCCCGAGTCCAGGGTCTGTGCCTGGGTCCTAGGACACGCCTGTGGGAGCACTCACAGGCCCTGGGGAGCACTCACCAGCCCCAGGCTCCCGGCCAAACTCACACCCGCACCTGAAGGTCCTGTCCTGCAGCCCAGATGGGACAGGTACAGCCAGGCCTCAAGGTTGAGGAAGATGTGAGAAGTAGGGGCTCTGCAGGGCCTTGCCACGGGCTTCACTGAGGCCCCTCCTCCACCCCTCCTCTCCCAGGCCCATTCACTGTCCTCACCTTCGAGGTAGAAGTTACAGCACCTCCCTCCAATGAGAGCCGCTCCTCCCCCAAGGCCCTGCGCCCACAGGTGTGGGTGCTCCTGGAATGAGCCCACCAGGGGCCAGAGACCCCTGCAGGAGGCGGGGACTCTCTCTGAAAGGTGGGAGGTCCCCAAACGGCCAGCCGCCTGCTCCTGCACCCGCTCTCCCTGCCTGGCCTCCAGCAGCAGCCCCCATACCTGCCCGTGCAGCTGGGAGAGCCTGCCCGTCAGCGCCCGCCACCTTTCAGTAGAGGGATGCAGCTCAAGGACGCCACCTCTGAGTCTGCCTGGGCGATTGCCCCTCTGAGTGTTTCTCACTCTTTTTTAAAAAAATTTATTTAATACTAGAGGCCCGGTGCCCACACCCTCTCCAATCTGGGACCCAGACTGGGATGCCAGACTGATGGATTAGGCCCTGTGGAATCGGGCCTAAACCGGCAGTCAGACATCCCTCTCACATTCTGGGACTGCTGGCTCTTAGTCACTCACCTGCCTGGCTGCCATATTGCCCCTAACCAGTCCCCTGCCAACCTGATTGGCACATAACTGCTCCCCTGCCAGCTTGGTCCGCCCCCTGCCAACTGCCCTTCCCTGCATGCCTCGTCGCCCCCCCAAATGCCCTCCCTTGTGGGCTTGGTTGCCCCCAACTGCCCTCCCCTGCAGGCCTGGTCACCCCCAACTGATCTCCCCTTCCAACCATCTTGTGATTATGTGGGGTGGTTATCTTATGACGACATGGGCTGGCCACCTTGTGACATGAGGGCTTGATGGTCAATTTGCATATTACCTCTTTATTAAATGGGATATTTTAATTGATTTCATAGAGGAAGGGAGCAGGAGAGAGAGTGAAACATCACTGATGAGAGAACATCACTGATGACCAGCTGCCTCCTGACGCCCCACACTGGACCGAGCCCACAGCCTGGGCCTGTGCCCTGACCTGAATGAAACCGTGACTCCTGGTTCATAGGTCTATGCTCAACCCTTGAGCCCCACTGGCCGGGCCCTTCTCAGTTTTCTTTCTAACGAACAGTGCCGGGATGGTGCCTCCCAGGCCTGACCGTCCACAGCATCTGGGCTCAGTGGTCAGTCCAGCCACCTGGACCGAGTATCAGTGCCAGTGTTTACCAACAACACGAACATGGTCGGGGGCAGCTCCCAGAAGCACATAACGCCTTCTTCCCAAGGTGATTATACTGATAGTGGCTTCAGTGGGGAGCTCCCTATTTTTTTATCTAAAAGGGGGATTTCAGGATGTTTGCAGCTTGGCCAAGAAAATAAGACGTCCTTTGGAGGCATAGACATTGCTAACCTTGCAGGCCCCTGGGCTATGGGAAAATATATTCAGACAGTTACTGCCCTGGGGATCCCTAAGGCCACCCAATGGCTGTCTGATCGGCATCCCCCGCTCCCCCCTGCCCTAATAGCACCACTGCTGAGCTGGGAGCACTTCCTCAATGGCAAGATTGCGCCAACCCTGTACCAGTGAGACATAGTATTTCTGGCTCTGACTTGTATGTATTGGATTGGTCTCACAGGCTTGATGCTAAATGTCCCCTTCACGAGCCCATGTCACCAGGAGGGTTTGTGGGTAACGCCGTGACCACGGAAACAGGAGGTTTACAGAAAGGTCTGTGGCGTTTAGCCGCTGCCCCTGACTTTCTTACTTTGACTGGCGCTTCCTTAGCTGATATTAAAGGAGCGTGTTCATGGAGCCCTTCCCATGGCTTACCAGCCTGTGTCCAGCCTCCATATGTATTGGTGACTGGAAAGGTGAACATCACCAGATTGGACACCCATTATGCTGTCCAGTGCCATCACTGCAACCTTACCAGCTGTGTTTCCAGGCATCACCTGGATGAAGATATATTAATTTCAAAGCAGCCTTCCTTTATTATGCCTGCTACCCACATAACAGGGAAATGGTATCAGGTGCTCGCCTC